TTTTTTTTTAATTTTTTTAATTTTGTTTTTTAATTTTTTTTAATTTTTTTTCTTTTTTTTTCTTTTTAAAATTTTTTTTTTATTATTATTATTTGTTTTTTAATTTTTTTAATTTTTTTTTTAATTTTTTTTTTTTTTAATTTTTTCTTTTAATTTTTTTTATTTTATTTTATTTATTTTTTAATTTATTTCTTTTATCAGTTTATTTTTTTTATTTTCTTACTCTAACTGTTTTAATTATTTTAATATTTTTATCTTTTTCTTTTTTTTCCCCCCCTTTTTTTTAATAGGGATATTTTTTACCTGATTTGGTTCATTTTTAAAGACCTTAGAATATTTTTATAAATTACATTAACCTTGTGCCAGAGCCCCCTCGTAGCACTCTTCTGAGTGCTACGTTTTAACCTTGACCTAACCCTAAGCATGTCGCCAGGTAGGTTTTAACAGGTTAAAATCCCATTGATGCTGTTTAGGGTTGCCATGTTTTTAGCAGTAGCCAACCAATGTACTGACACTGTAACTGCCTTACTATATAGTAGTTTTCATTGTTAGTGACAGAGTCTGCCTTCCCTCCATGCAATCTTGTGTTTTAGATGTGTAATATTATTATAATGTTGCTTCAAGACAGTCAAGTCATGCCCATTCAAGGTGGAAGGGCACATGCTCCACCAGATTTTTGATATATAATATGTAATTATTGTCGTCTTATATTCAGGCCCAGTTCTACGAGTGGGTAAACAGGCATTGCATCCTGAGTTTAATCATTTCCACCCTTTAAATCAAGGTGGTCTTACAGGCACACAAACTGTATGGTCGTCTTAATATGCGCCTTCTAAATTGGTCCATGTATGTTCAGCAGTGCCATCTGTAAAAAGGCTGGGTGAAGCTGAACATAGATCACAGGTGGCAATTATTAAATACTGTATCAAACTAAAAACACTGATTTGGATCAGACTGCTTGTATCATTATAACCTGATATAATCTGACTGATGCTCTTTTAGTAATATTTATCATGTATCTCACCTCGTGTGGTCATATAGTTCAGTAATTAATGTTACACAAAAGCATTTGCATTGCATTGTGTTTCAAGGTTAAAACATGAGAGTTTGCCAAAACAGAATGTAAACCAGATGTCTCCGTCATAAAAAAAGCAGAATATTGAGTTCTATCCATTCTATCTTCCATTTTGTCATTATTAGAAGTCGGTTTATTGAGATAAGCAGTAGGTTTTAGACTTAAAAAAAGTCAGTCTGACTTGCATTAGACTAATCAAAGAGACAAATTAAGACTAGAGACCAGTCTTATGCAGCTACTATTAATAGACTCACTCAAGTGGTCAACACCTATAGCGGACCTCTGGATGACACCAATAAGGTTGAAATGTATTTATTTTATATCTAGCCCAAAATCACAAGGTTAAGTGTAGGAAGGGATACAGGTTTATCATTTGTGTCCATGTCTCTATTTATATGCACTGGTCGACATTACCGTTCTCCCAGGATGTTCACCTCATAGTATGATTTCCCTGTGAGTACTCATTGCTGTGGGGAAGGAGAGTCAGTCCAAACTTTCAAGTAAGAAATAAGTCCAACCTTCAAAGTTTAGACTTACTCACCTGATTTTGAACACTGTCGGTTGTGCACTTAAATAACTCTTAATCCACAAAATGTATTCTGGTTTGTATGTTAAAGGCCCCACCAATGTGTTTGTAAGTCCAGTTCCTGAACTTACAGGGCAGCTGTGGCTCAGCGGGTAGAGAGGATTGTTACTAATTGCAGGGTTGGCGGTTTGATGCCTAGCATGGGTGCTGCCATTGCTGGGTAATGTGCATGTGTGAATGATAGGCAATTTGTAAAGCTATTTGGATAAAAGTGTTATATAAATGTAGGCCTGTTGACTAGAAAGCATGTATAATGGTACTTTTCTCTCATCATAAAGGTTTAGGTTTTTTTTATGGATCACTCAAACCGCTGTACACTACATGCCATACTCACCCCATTCATACACACTCATACACCGATGCACAGCAATTTGGGTTTCAGTGTCTTGCTCAAGGACACTTCAACATGCAGTGAGAGGAGCGGGGGATCGAACCACCAGTACCCGCTTAGTGTACCCACTCTACCTCTGAGCCATAGCTGCCTGCTGTGTACACACCCTTGATTAGTCTGCCAGCTCCTCCTACCAAATTTGCATACTGAGAAAAGGGCAGAATCACGCCAAGAGCACATATTAATACCATGTGTAAATGCAAAAGCCTGTGGGGTTATTATCCATCATCCAGATACAGATTAAATATTAATACCACAGTAGGTGGAAATGTGGTCTAAAACTAATGCAGACTCAATGTTCAATGGAGCATGTAAAAACTTTGTTTCTGAAAAACAAATGATCCTTTTAATCATATCACAAGATCTCTGTTTGCAATTGGAGTTTGTCCAGTTGTCATAAAGAATTTGGTATTTACATTTTTTCTGAGGAGGTTTCTTCCATGTTGCCTTAAAAGCTACGGTTGAAAGTTCATTCTTAAACTTGGAAACCGCAAACAATGTCGCCACATAATAGCTTTTTGATCATACTACAAATTACTTTAGCTGTTTTCATCTGCTGATAAAGGTCATATGGTAATAAGTGTAATCAACCGTGTATTTACTTCAGGCCACTTGCCTGGAGTGAACAAATATCAACAGTTAGTGCACTCTACAACATTTAATGACAGACTGAAAGTATTGATACATAACCAAAACATATTAAAACAAACCCTTGCAACTGTTTAAATTCTGTGTTAAGTGTTCAGTTGCATACTGCTGTCCCCCTCTCTCCCTCACTCCTCTGCACGTTTGGTTGATTGGAGTGCAGCTGCAGCTGTGGTGGAAACTAAATTTAGTAAATTTGAGCAAGCAGCTTAACTCATCCAGACTGTGTATGCACCATATGATTTCCTCCTGTAAGCTCCTTGAGGAGGCAAACGGTTGCCGAGTCACAAATCTGCCAAGCCTCCTCATTAGACAGAGCAACAGCATAAACCCTCGGAGCCCCTCACTGTCCCTTATAAAGAGAAACACAGGTGTTTGTGAGTTAAATGGTTGGATGATCCAAAATGATTGAAGAAAATTGTCTGACAGGGGTTTGAGGTGAGGTTAAAAACACACAAACAGCTAGGCATCAGTTAACAGTTGATGAGTGTCTGACTCCATCTAGTGGCCAAATCTGATGTTTCCAACAGAATCTGAACACAGCAGCAGCTTTTTAAACGTTGGCTGAATAATTATGTGCAAGTGTTTCAGACATAATTTGGACATAACTAGATGTTGAGATGTAGAGAAATGTTTAGATGTTTTGTCAATAAGCTACTTTTTTAAAGCCCCCTCCAGTCAGAAACCAGTGTTTCTTTTTGTTCCTACAGTGTGCTGTTTGAATGCTGAGCAGAGTTTGACACTAGAAGGATGTTTTCACATTCATTCAATTTGTGACATCACAATAGTTAGGAAGTCCATCCTGGTCCAGAATGCAACTTGTACAGT